AATACATATATATTTTTTTTCCTATTTTGTCATTTTGTGTATTCTTTATTATTATTTTTTTTTTTCCTATAGCTACCATATTTGTATTTTCCAAACAAAAATCAATTTCACCCTTAGCAAACCGTCATATAGAGCTTTATTTTCATTTGTCTGTAATAAACATATGTAAAAACTCGATTATTATCATGCGAACTCTTAGCTTTAATCTATGATAACTCCAACTAACATTAAGCCTCAGCTTAATGACATCTCTATACATTTACCATACAGATATCAACATGGAATTCATTTCAGCGTGTATTAGTGTATAAATTTAGCTATGGCTAAGTCTCTCGCATGAACACACATACGCTCACATACACACATCATTCACATATGCAAATAAATGCACCCCCAACAATTTCTATTCACAATGTTTGCTCACCTACGTGTCCAACCTCTCCCGCTCCTATCTCCTGTGCCACATTTCTAGCCACTTTAATAAATGAAAAACCATCCACTTTTTTGTTTACCTTCAAGTGTTTGTTCATGTGTGTTTATTGTTGCTGCTTTTTCTATGCATTTGTTGTTATTTTGGTGACGCTTTTGTCACTGCCTGACGAGCTTTCACTTTCCCTAAAAATTCCCCATAGGGCTCTGGACGCCTCTCATTTTGTATCATACTGTGGCGCTTGGCAAATAGAAATTTTACGTAATTATTATGGATAGTCCGTCTGTGCCTCTATCTGTGTCATCAGCTCGTAATTTATTCTCGCTTTCTCTGTCTACCTGCATTTGCTGTCCCTTTCGGTATTGCTAACTAATTGGCCGTTGGCCTCGTCACATGCGAATCCCTCGTTTCTCACTGATTTCGATAGCCCCGAGACACGGGTGACTTTTCTCTATTTTTAAGGCTAATTGCATTACGGCACGCGTTTTAAAGTCAATGAACGCTTAGCTTAGCTCGACATTTCTCACAAAGGCCCAAGCACGCAAATGTCAACAGCAAATTGCAACAAAAACCTAAAGCAATAAACAATAAAAATGTCATATGTGGCATTTGTATTTGCGTTTGGCTGCGCGCAGCTCTGAACATTTTTATCTTGTGCATAAAAATAAATGAAAAGTTTTGCATTTTCTGTGCAAACAATAAACGAGACGCAGGTTAACTGCACTGAGAGAAAAATGAAATGAAAAAAAGTAAAGTGGAAAATTAATTTTATAAGTATTTTTTCTATATATTT